TGCAGCAACACCACACCAGCATTTGGGTAGCTTTATCCATCGTCTGCCAGAAGCACCAATGAGAAACTCAGCTTCCATAAGCTGCCAAAGCCATTCAAGGTTAAAGAATCTAAACGTGCCAAGGAATGACTGAATATTCTGAGTATTTGAGGACTGATAAGAGTGTCTTCCAGGTGTAGCTGACACAGCCTGGAGATTTTGCATTTCAAGCATTACATTTCTTCTTCGAAAAAGAAATTTAAACCCAGAAAAATGGACATCCATCTTGAAAATTCTCTGTGTTCCACCATGTGTGGGAAGCTACAGAGAGGAAAGGATACTCCACGCTATGGCAGGTTAACAGGAGATACGTTTATCAATGACTCTGCCTTATATTGTGTACTAAAAAAATGTGTGCTGCTCTGCAGATGCTTACAGAGCTGGATGATGGAAGATACAACTCTGGCCAGAGACCCCCTGAGTTCAATGGGACCTAAGGCAGGTCACTAGTGAACCGTAGACTGCTCTGTGGAGAAATGAACGTGATTGCAAGAGATCTGTGTTCATGCTTGTTTAGAGACGTTTGACGAAAGTTGCAAACAGATTCAAACCACTTCATAGATCGTCTGAGTTTCTGAACTTAGTTGTTTGGGTTCATGTGTGTTGGTGGAAGAGTGGGGGTAGCAGGGATGCAAGGAGCTGAATTTGGGTTTGTTTCCATAAAAGCTTTTGAGTAGCGAAAGAACACCAACAGACAGCGTGCTCAAAATCTGCAGTGAATAACATGCCAGTAGTCTGCGGAGGGATTTTGCAAAGGCATCGTTACAAGGAATGGGTGCCCACCTGCCCGTCGAGCTTTTGAAAATCCCCCACCTTGTCCCACTCTCACAGCAGAGAAGTCACTGGGAGTGCAGGCGGGGCTGCAGTGCGTGCCGGCTGCTTGGGGCTGTGCTTTAAATTCCCTTAACTGGATTCTGGGCTACCGCGCGGCGGCCTCGGCGCACACACTCGCTGGGTGATCTGATAAGCTCACCTGCGGGGAGGGATTATTCCACGTCTTCTAATGAGCCATCAGGTCTGCGTTCCCTGTGCGTCAGGTGTGCCCACAGGCCTGTCCGCGGTGGCACCGGTCCTCTCTGCTGCCATCAGGCTCATGGAAGCAGCAAGAAAAGGAATGGGAGTAATTAAAAACAGATTACAACCCTCATACTAAAAAGAAAGCCAATATTATTCAGGCTGTAATAACGAGATTTACTTTCACATTAAGATGAATGAGAAAATCAAACCTTTTTTAAAAATTGGTTTCTGTTTTTTCTTGCCATGTCAGATACATTCATATCTCTGCTTTCAGTTTACCCTTCCACCAGTGATTTTTATTGTTTTTTGAGAGGATTTCAGCTGAGATTTTTCCAAGAAAAGCACCAATACAAAATGCATAAAGAGAAAATCAACAATGTTCCTCAGAAGCCCACCTCTAATAGTACAAGTGGAAATGACTTGAGTCTTTGCTTCATTTTCCTGAAGGGAAGCCAAACTTGCAGAAGTTTGGAAAACACTGCAGTGGTGTGATAAAACTGATCTGTGTGAGTATCACAGTTACGCCAAGCTTGCGAATGATAAAAGATTAGATCTACCAGAGTGGATAAACTCACTCTACAGAGCTGGCCTTCACCTTTCTGCCACTACTTTCTTGTCACGGGATTTTAAATTATTTATAAAAACTTCCATTATTGATGATTTTTTTTTAACTTTATATATTTTTGTTTTATTGTACAAACCAAGTGTGTTATTCTGAAGGTCTTTCATTCAATTGTTAAGGTTTTCTGGCTTTAACATCTTGCTGTCTGTTAGTGACACATCTCGTGCCATTAGAGCTGACTTAGACAGAGGACACGCTGCCAGAGGTCAGGGTTGGGTCCTCGCTGCCTCTGCGTTAAGAGTGCCAGGACACACCGCAGACGTACGGCAGCTTCAGAATTAGCTTTTGCAGGGGCAGAAGCCTTGTTTTCCGAAAGTGGCATGTAGTTGCAAATGAAATGGAAAACTAATAGAGAGTGCCCTGGGACGGAAAGCCATGGGCATGCCTACTCCATTTTTGCTCGCCAGCAGCGGCCAACTTTGTCCATTTTACGTGATGTTGTATTGCTTGGAAAGGGAAAGATCCCATGTCCTTTGTACAGGACACCACTAAATATTTTCCTCCTTCTTCCCTTTCATCTAATGTAGGCTACACATCACAAATGAGGCAGAACGGACTTTAAATATTGTTTGTCAATGAAAGGCGAGACCAGCTTCCTAGCAACAAAAAGGATGTCGCTTATTGTCTTCAAAAGGAGACCATTTCATCCCATCTCGTTACAAATGCCTTCCCATGATCGCTTCTGTCGTTATAAAGGTCTGCCAGCGGGGGATCCCCATTAGGAAGTGACCAAGTTTGAAAACCCGTTATGCTCCTGGCAAACATTGTCATCTTGTACATATTTAGCCTGATCACTCTGGCAGGTTATGAAAGACTAAATGGTGCAAACACATGTGGCAGATGCCGTTCTCATGATAGTTGAGGAGCCTTTGAGCCTCTGTTGGTAGCATGCCAGCTTCATCTTGTATACTGAAGAGCATTATACTTGCAAGCCTTCTATAGCTTGCCCTGAGGGACTGCTGCTGAAGTGGTAATAAAATTCAGAATGAGCCTCAGAAAGTCAACTTGTTGGTTTGGCTTCAAATGGGTTTTTTCATTATTAAACTTCCCTTTAGCAGCCAAATGTAGATCTGCTTTCTCAAAAACACCATGTGCCCCTTTAGAAAGGTGATTCTAACTGAAAAGATAAACAGATAAAAACGCAGAGCCAGCAAAGAAAATGAATTGTTTCTGTGAAGCGTATCTTTAAATTGCCTGTGGTGGTTACATTTCCTCAGGTGAAGGGAAGTAAAGGGAATCTGGGTGTAAGTGTTGTTTACTGGTAGTTCCTCTTAGCAGCTGATCTAGAAAATACAGCCGGGACATTCTCCACTCCCCAAAAAAGGGCATTTTATTTGTGTTAAATACTGCACACTGGGTGAGACGTTTAAGGTTTTGAGCTCCAAATCTGTAAGTATTGACAGGAATGGTTAAAAATGCAGTTATGGACCAAGCTGGTAATGGTAGCAGTAATATGGAGCATCCCTGAAACGTTTTATAAACATCATTTAATGCAATATCTCTGTGAGGCAGGCGAGCAACTTAACCAAGGTAAGGCAGTTGGAAGATGTGCCTCAATCAAGAGATGAAATCACCTTATCAGGGTTAGAATTAAAATTAAGACGCCGGCTTGAAAACAAAGTGTTTGGCCAGGGGAACATGGCTTTCAGCAGGGCCTATCAGTAAAAATAGAGAGTCTTTAATTATCTTAATGTATTCCTGTATAACACCCCCCTTTTTCCCTGCTTTGCTACCTAGTATCAACATTGAGCTAAGGGTTTGTGTTGGGTGGGGGTTTTCTCCTGAAATTGCAGGGGGTTTAAATATTTGAGGAATATCCTGTTTTTCTCTAGGCTCTCTACACATGCTATAGGTATATAATTACTTCAATAAAGATACTTCAAGCTGAGCTCCCCTTTTCTAACATTTCATATCTGAATGAATCGTCAGCGTCAGCTGTGCTAACGTGCTACCAGAGGCTCCCAGGCTGGGCAGCACTGGCCATAGCAAGAGCACAGTATTGGTAATAGTGTCAATAAATACTTTATACTGTGAAAACATCCATCGGAGAGAGCCCCGTGGTGCCGGGCACTGTGCAAATCTAGGAGAGGCGGCCCCAGCCAGCCTGTGATATGAAGGGAAGTGCAGGTGAAGGGGGAAGAGAGCTCAGGATGGGATAGGTGTGTAAAAAAACCCAGCCAAGTTCTGCCAGGTGCACAAAGCGTTATTACTTGTGCGGGGCGTTCGTGAGAGCTGAGGTGTCGTTCGAAGAGTGGGAGGGGGGAAACGCTGCCGTTTGACATCGCTGAAAAAAACTCTTCTGCAAAAGGGAAACTGCCCGTTAGTTTTCCGTAGACAGATGTGTCAGAACTATTAAACTCGTGTAGCGCCTTTGAAGTTGCTTTATCCAGACGTTCAGACCACACGACTGACTCAAGCGATAGCGGACGCGTGCTCCCGACAGCAATGCCCCGCGCGCTGCTGCCGGTCCAAAGCCGAGAGCGCTGGTGGCAGCCACGGAAATGCGCCCACCTTAAAACTCCCTGGGCAACCCTGCTGACATCTGTTCCGTCGGTACTGGGATGAACGTGGTGCACCTCCCGGCTCCAGTGAGCATTAACAAGAGTTACGCAGGCAGCGTCTCGCTGAAGCTGTAAAAGTTATTTTTCACTACAGAGGAAAGAAACAAATCACAGCTTTGTAATCCGGCTGCCTCCAGTTGTATTTACAGCCGTGGAGTTCTACAGGGAGTCGTGTCCTCTCCATCCTTTTACTCCTTTTCCACAGAAGAATGCTGTCACGAATGCTGCCACTGGAAGAAAAAGTTACAAGAGCTTCCTCCTAGAATAGGTTCAATTTAGCTTCGGCGTACTGGTGCAGAGAACATATTGCAACACTGTGGTGGCCTGTTTTTCTGGCCTTTATTAATCCAGAAACCTTAATGATGAACAACATTTGTGTCATTGTCTACACAAATTTAATTTGTTTATGCAGCAGTTCAGTTAATCCTGCAATCTGCTTTTCTCAAATGAGGACAGATAATGGAGACACCGTTCTTTACAGGTCTTCAGGCTTTTAAATTCTGATAAAATCAGGATTCTTCACTGGGTCTTGCCACAGCTCTGAATTAAGCCACTTTAAATGTAATTACTGAAGCTGGCTGTACATCAGGAACATCCATTAAAAGAATTGATTGACCATGCTGTTACGGGAGGCATTTTATGAACAAACGATCGTGATGGGTCCAGAACTGTAATTTATAAAGGCAAAAAAGCAGGTAAATACTTTATTAGTGGTTAATGAGAGGTTCACAAGATAACTAAATTTCTTCTTTTTTAACCAGCTACTTCAGGGAACCTTGGTCCATGGCCATCTATCACGATCGGTTTATTGATCTCAAGAAGGAACTGCGCCAAATCCTGATGTTGGAACAGGTAAGAAAAATGACCGGCGAGCGCATTTTATTATTTAGGTAATTTGTTAGTGTTGTTCACTTGGGTTTCTTCTCACTTCTTTCTCCTAAAGCTTTATGCTTCTGTTTAGCTATTTCCTCCGGGAGACCTGAGCAGAGGCTGTACCTCACGGGGGGTGGGGGGTGTCCTCAGGTACAGCGTAGTGTTCAGTTTTGTTATTTTTACATTTGCCAGTAGAACTTTCAAGTTGCTTTGTTTTCCTCTGCAGTATTTTTGCATTATATGTGCAGTTTCGTGTGACTACCCAGCAGGATCTGGAGGCTTATTTGTCCAGCTATCCCCTTTTTTTATTAATGTTTCCTAAAACGAATACCCTACAGGCCACCCTAAACCTGCCTCAGCTCAGCCTGCGAGAGGTAGGTTTTTCACACCTACCCACAGGGAATGGCTTTTCTAGCCGAAAGAGTGAAAGGAGCTGGCTTTTTCAGTGATAAGTGGATTTCCTGAGTAAGGATGAAATTAAAACGTTCGCTAACGCTGTTTACAGCTTCAGCTGTAGTGCCGTAGATGGAGGCATGGCGTCTCAGCAGCCTGTAACTTTGCCTGCTCCACGTCCAAAGCCCACTGCACCCCACGAAAAAGAACCATTAACTGCAGCAGGTTTCTAACAACCCCACGAACCGCCTTCCCC